AACTCCTTGTATCAGCACTGGAGTGTGTGTGGCCATACTACAAGCCAGATGAAGGAAGAGGTCCAACTGAAGATTAACCTAGGAAAACATCAGCAGCTTAAAGTGACATGAAAGCACAGACTCTGACTAGGATTTACATCGAGTTTGTAATGGGGCTATTCACACACGGAACTGAATAACCGCTAACAACGCACCATGCTGGAATCCTGACAAGCCCACATGTTTTTCCACACAGCACGCAACTGCATTAGACATAATTTTATATTTCCATTGCCTATTCAACATAATTAGGACTCAGAGATGAGTCCTGCTAAGGCACTTTTAAAAATACTGTTGGAACATTGGTTTCCTAAATTAAATTTCATGCAACTGGATTAAAAAAAAAAAAAAAAAGGAGCACTTTCTAGTGCATTTAGAGAGTTTGTGCATTAAAAAGGAGATCAATTTGAAGCAAATCTACTTCATGCTTCTAGTAGATTTAACGGGCAGCTGTATCTTAAGCTGATTGCGTTCTCAAAGTGATGTCGTAATGTTAGACAGAACCGCATGTGGTTTGCTAGAAATCTAGAAAGAACACATGCAACTTTCTGATGGACCTTATTAAAAGAAAAAAATAACCCACAGCACCTAGACCACCTTATTTGAAAGGATGCAAAAATAAATATTAGAATTAAAATAATTTTATTTCAATGTACATGAACAGAAATAAAATATAATTTTTTAAACTTACTTACAGAGATATATTGCTGGGCTGGCCCAATCACAAGTGTTCTCCACCACAGGGCAGCAAGACTGACTAGACCCACTTCACTACTTTTTGGACCAACAGGATTCAAAGTACCACCTCAAAAGGGTCCTTCAGCACACAGCAAACTATTTTTTTGAAAACGAAAACTCATCAACTCTTCACACAGCCAGAAATTTTACATTGTGTTCCAAGGAAGATCTCCCTTGAAAATTCTGTCCGTTACTGAAGAACAGTACACAGTATGCGGCGCTATATCTAAACTTAACGGATCCAGGTTTCTCCCAAATACTTTTCTCTATTCTACTTTCTCGTACAAAGCATCTGCTATAAAACCCACACATTCAAAACCACAGAATTATACAAACCTGTGAACAAGGCTGTTTTCAATATGCTTGTTGCTATGTGCTACTACCTGCTGTATCAGCTTTAACATGCAGCGTCCATAGATGGTAAAAGGGCATTTCTCTTGACCATCTATTTCAGAATTCACAGAAGTTACGACTGTTTTTACAACTTACAGTGCAATGTAGTTAAGTTATTCAATGTCATGATATGGCACCATAAGATAAGCAATCATTTGTTAAAATGCACAATTCCTTTACTAATATTTTTGTGGTGCTTTACTGATCATATAAGTAATAATAAATTTAAAGACAACTAGAAGAGGAAGTGATAGGGAAAAATCTTTTTAAAAAGTGTCTATCAACTCCTTTAATAAAGAAAATAAGAAAAAAACCCTGAACTGTCAGATTCAAGGAAAACAACAGGAAGTACCTCTTCACACAACGCAGTTAAACTGTGGACTCCTTGCCATATGATGTGGATGCTAGGATACTATAAGGATTTAAAGATTTTTCTTCCATGATTTTAACCAGCAAATGCTCTCAGATAGAGAGTTCCCCAAACCACAGATTGCTTAAAGTATATTCTGGGGAAGCATTGCTAACTGCTCACCCTGTTCTTACTCTTCCTTGTGCATCTGCTTTTGGCCACTGAGACTGGATGCTGGGCCAGAAGGACCTCTGATCTGACTTGGTACAGATGTTTCTAACATTTACTTCAAAACACTTCATAAACTTATACTTAAGACGAAGTTCATCATTTGTCATGTTATTTAGTTAGAAGGACTCAGATTTTTAAATTACAAATGACTTCCAAAAGGCGGGGGGGGAGGGGGAATTAAGCTTTTTTCTACTATGACTCAGTTGTATAAAACTGTATAGAAAAATGAGCATTATGTGCAGACGTAATGAAAAGCAGTAAGCTTTATAAAAAACATTCTTAGAAATGTACCAAGCATAAACAAAAGATGATTTACAAATACATCTAGCTGTTCTTCTAGTCATCATCAGAATCTGAATCATATTTCTTTCCTCTGATGGTCTTCTTATCCAACTTCGTAAAGCTTGTTCCAAACTTCTTTTGACTTTGAAAAGGTGGGTCCATCAAGTTTCCACTAGAGGAAAAGAGAAAGGCATGTTGATTAAAGCTGTATTCATGCAGCTGTAGCATCTCTAATTACCTGTTTCTCCAGGAAAACATTGTATGAGAACAACCCCTACTCCCTAAAGCCACCCTAAATAGCATTGCTAGCATAGCACATCCTGGACAAAATGGCCTGGATAACTGTAATTCAGACAGGAGTGTGAGTGTAAACAGCACCTGTGAGTGGAGCTCTAGAGAAAAACTGTCTGAAAGGGCTTTTGCTGCAAACTGATCATGCTAAAGATAACCATCTGTCAGATTGAACAGTAACCAGGGAATTACAGAGAGACTTTTCAAAACAAATGAGGAGCTAGGAGTACAAAAGAAGCTAAAATTTTGTAACAGGGACTTTGGAGTAGAAACAGACGAGTCAAAACTGGCTTTTGTACTGCCAGAAGTCACCTTATACTACCTCTGCCTAGGCCAGACAGAGCAGCTTCCTCATCAGATACTGCGCTCCAGTTAGGGGAATATGGAAGGACTCACGCCTCAGTGTGCATGTATGACCCTGTGAGGGCTTCCTCACCAGCGTGTGGGTCCGTGGGTTGTGGGGAACAGCAGGTGCTCACTTAAAGCTGGAGCACCCACACCTCCTACAGAAGGGGTGCGCAAGGAGGGGAATCCCCTCCCCTTGCTCAGAAAATGGTGTGCATGCTTTCACTCACATGACCTGTGAGGAGTTTGCATCTAAGCGTCAGCGAGTGAGCGAACAAGCAATTAGAACCTTCTGGAATTAGCTGTAAAAGGGTGTTTAGAAATTTGTAGGTATTAACATTTTGTAAATAACATTTTGTTGATATTGATCCTAAATGTACAGTTCACTGATTGCTAGTTAATTACATGTCAGTAGTGAGTCAATACACCCCTTGAATCCTGATTTTGGTCAAACAACATGACCTGAACAGCTTTTCCCCTAAATACACCATCTGCTATCCTACAGGTTGAAAGAAAAGAACTGTTTCTAGGCTCTGAGGAGGACTATCTCCTTTTCAGGAACTTCAGAGAGCGGGACATTACATTCAGAGCAGTGTGGAAATGCAACACTTGCACAGAAATAGATGTCTCCTGGAATGGATCTCCTGGGCTGCGCAGATATTGTGGCTCACTTTGCAAAGCCAGGGTACCAAACTCAGGATCTGGCAAAATGAACAAAGAATGAAACAACTCCCCCACTCCACAAGGAGCTAAGAGTGGAATACACAGTACTAGTAGAGTCAAGTAGGAAGTAAAATTATGCCGTAAGCCAATGTACTAACATTGAGCAAATTCAATGCAGCTTGGTACAACTCCACTGAAAGATTTCTCACATAAAGGGCTGTTGCTGTCTAGACTATATAACCAAGCTGCCTTTCGCTCCCCTGCATATTTGCTTCTTACTGAACTGGGATGTGGGTATTACCACTTGTTTTGAGCTACAAATTTCCATTTCAGTCATTTAATCTGAAATTCAACAGCTACTAAGCTAAACTGAACAGTAGTTTCCTTGCCTTTAAGATACAACAACACTTCTTGCCAAAACTTGGAAATTAGGCATTGAAATAAATTCAGATAATAAGTTTAAAAAAAGAAAAAAAAAGCCAAAGATATTCAAAACAAAAGAGCAAAATTAACCTAAAAAGATAAAGATGATGTTTTAGCCACACCGGAAAGCAAAGCACAAAGTTCTGGTAAATGATTCTCCTGTAAAGTTAGGCTATCGTGGTGACAGTTATCTTCTACTGCCTTCTATCCGGTAGTCTTAAATGTGGGATTTATGATGATTATACTGTACTGCTACACAAACAATTTATTTGCACTTCCACAACTTATTTTCACTTTCTGTACTGTTCTTTGGAAAAACCAAACATATTTATGTACGTAATATGGACTAAGATGCAGTTTAAGGATGACTTGCTGAGTTTTTTCTGAAGTGGATTAAAAATGCTCAAACTTTACCGCATTGCAATTGTGACATGTAAGCATCTATAGCTGATTTAGAAAAGATTACACTAGATGCATGACTCAGAGGCTGTATCAAAGCAATGTAGCTACTCTACACACCTCATGGCAAGAACTGTTTATTTTTATTACGGTACAAAAAGGACAACGTAACACTCATTATAAGGTCTCAATACTTTGCCAAAGGGATACTCCAGTTATTAAATAACTGGATTAAACTCTCATGTGTTTTAAGCATACAACATATCAAAGTTACAAACTTTTACAGATTCTGATTCTCCTGTCTGCAAGCATGTTCTCCTGGCACTGTATCTGAAAATAAAACAATCACAAAACAATTAATTACCTGTAATTAATTATGTCTGCACAGCCTAATCTCCATTCTAAGGTCTCTGTAGTGAAGTCATCAGTATTACCGAGATCAGTAAAGCCCACAACATAGTCTTGTGTTTTTCCATCTTTTACTAGTGCTAGAGTGGGAATTACTTTGATACGCAGTCTCTCGCACAAGAAAGGAGATTTTTCAGCATTTAATTTCAAGAATTTTGTCTCAATGTGCTTTTTTGCCAACACACTCAAATGTTTGTCCATTATTTGGCACCTGTGAAAAAAAACCAAATATATGAAGTGTTAGAATCAATAAGCTGAAGATCATGAATTTTAGAGAAAGTTTAAAAGGAACAGTAAAGAGCTAGTTCTATCATGTTAATTCCTCAGATACGACCTTTTTAATTAAGAATTTAGTTTCAAGAGCAACTGTGTTTCAAAGGTAGCTGGAATTAATGACTAATAGAATAACAGCCTGGAGCACCTTTATTGCACAATCACACCATCCATTTCTCTAATTTCTTCCTAATTACTCCCACATACACCTGAAAGCCTCTCTCACTTCTTGAGGCCTGCATTTATTGATGAAATTTCCCTCCGATTTCTCTTCTTCCTGCTCTAGCTTCACTGGCTGTCAGCTGGAAAAATTTCTCTATAATGAACTTCACATCTTCAGAAAAGTACTCTCAACATGCTACAACGTTTTGGTTTTTTTCAGTCACAACTTCCATAACTGAGATGCAGTAACTCACTGTACCAGGGGTGGTGGGGGGAAGTGATTTGCACAGACTGCTTCAGTAGTGCTATAGGCAAAAATATTTCACTTTTCTGTTGCAATGGAATAGGAGTGTGCATACAACTATTGTTTCTCACCTAAGGGACAGTAACATGAACTGTTCAAGATCTTGCCAAATGGCAGAGATTTGTGGACTTGTCACCTGCGATCTCAACTTTCTGGATTGTCTTTGTTAAGTAGTTTAGCTTAGCTGTATGAACTCTGTAACGTGACTGTCCTTTAACTCAAGAGGAGAGACGAGCAGATCAAAAAGCTGGAGTGGGCAAGGATGAAAGCAACATGATATTGTGGTTGGTAAACCTCACACACTAGCTTCAAGCTGCTTGTCAGAACAACACATTTTACAAAGAACTTTCTCTAAAGTTCTTTCTCCTGAGTCTACAGACTTTGCTGGTTCAAGAAACAAGAACCAAACAACCCAAACCTGTTCTAAGCTACTTTATTTGCAGAGACCGTCTTTCAACTTCTTTGAGTAAAAGCTAGCCAAATACAACCATTTCCGGTATTTCTGAAACTTAAACATTTAACTTAGAAAATGCAGGACACAGATACCTCACTGCATAACCAGCTTCAACCTCTTTCAATTTCTCACATTGAGGCCATTTCAGTTTATATTCTATAAGCTAGAGAGCGCATAACACCTTGGGGGGGGGCGGGGAACAAGCAACCAACCAAAAACAGGACAACTGGCTCCTATTTCAACAAACTACTCTAGTTTGCAACTGCATTTTAACAGAAGACATCGAGACAGACCCACGGAGGAACAGCCCACAACCCAGAACTTCTGAAATTTTTCCAAGGAAGTGGGAGATCTTATTTCAGGTTCCTATTCCGAGTCAGGACTTATTCTTAGATCTAGGTCTCTCACACCCTAAAAAGTGACATAATCACAAAGGCATGGGCACAAAAGGAAAGCAGCTGCAACTGGTATCCACAAATACTTTCATAGCAAAAGGTTAAATTCTGAAAATGCCGAGACAAGTTTTTGTTTATATTTTTATTTTTGTTTGCCAGAACTGCCCAGAATATCTCTGCCTGGAATAATCAAAGTGATCTTTTTGAAATGCTGCTCCTGTATGGTCACTATGTTTACAGACGTAGCTCCCTCAAACGAAATAATAATGAAACACAGCACTCTCTCAAACATTGTCAAAGAAGTTATACACTTATATTCTAATCAACTATGAAACAGAGTATTAATTGTTGCCAAATCATGTTCAGGTTAACTGGAATGGGGAAAAAAAAAATTGAAAAAACAAATGTCTTGAGAAGGGAGCGAGATTTAGAAAATGCAGGAATTTGAATACTTCCAAAAATGCCTATTTATTGGTGGGATTTGAAAGAACATGTCTGTATCTGCAGACATCTATAAACAAAAGGTTTCTTGAGCATAGCTTATTTACTATACCTGAACGTTGTATCTCTATAGAAATGGCAAACCACGTTTTTACTTTCTTTGACTTCTTGGAAAAAGTCTCTCTCACTTGGGATTTCTCTGTATTCTCCATGTCCTTTTGAAAGCCACTCCTTTTGGAAAACATAAAAGGAAATAATTAGTATGGAGTTTGTTAGTCCTGCACCTGTCATGCAAGCTCTACAGCATTTAAGAAAAACAAAAGGGGGGCCTGCAGTGGAAACACACTTCATACAGTAGTACAAGGAGAAACAAATTACTTCCCTCCTTTAGTTCTGTTTTGAAAATATGCAAATGCCACTAGGCTAGACAATCCTTTTGGGTTGCCTCTTTCTCAACAACAGATAGTTGGTTGAGCAGTAAAGCTACCTTACTTATTCGGAAATACAAATCTTGTACAGAGGTGCACAAATTTCTGAAGTGCAGCCTTTTAGTAACACTAGACTAGTTCAAAGACAACACCAGTGACAGAAAATTCTCAGCATTTGAAAACTACTAATCGACAGCTTGGGTCACTCTCTCTAAAATGTTTTTGTACACTCAAAGAACTCTTGTCTAAAACGGATTCAAGTCATTACACATATTAAAATGGATTTCTTCTAATTTTTCCCTCTATGAAAAAATCAGTGAGGAAAAAAGCCTACTAACTCACCTGCAACAGATGACATTTATCAAATATACACTGGAAGTATCTTAATATGAGCCAGGCATCCAGAAAACCATTCAGAAAACACATGCATACCATTGGTCACAAAATGTATGGAGAAACAGAATTTCACAAGCTAACATTTACAGGCAACTTCAAAAACTGCCTGATTAAGTGTGCAAATACAGTTTCAAAAAAGCTAATCTTCTAGATTTTCAACAAATGCGCTTAAGAAAAAACCCCAGCTTCTACAATATTGAAAGTTAATAGTAGTGTATTAAAACAAGTACAGACTAAGCGAAATGATTAGAAGTAGTGCAGTATGACAGAATTTGACAAAAAACTTTAGTTTCCAATGTGGGGAGGGGAAATTTAGATAAATCACTGTTCTTGATCTTGCAGTTTTGTCTTAGCAGAGCAGGGGGGGGAAGGAAAAAAAAAAGGGTTTCCAAGCAAACCGAAAATATCCTGTAAGCTAAATTAGGATAGAACAAAGAATTTCCTGAACGTCGTACACATTAAAAATGCATAGAAGTATGAGCACATGAAGAAGTCATTATGATGCAAATCAAGAACTGACTTATCCTTCAACAGTGGGTATGCATTAATTCCCCTCTGCACAATCCTATTCCAGAACACTATGGCAGCTTACTCCTTTTACTGAGTAGCATCCTACTTCAAATTTGCGTTTGAAAATGCATGAGAACAGTGACTTAAGATCAACGGACATGAACAAGTTTTTGCATGGGAACTAGCACATGTTCACATCCAAGAACATCCAACTGTTATGACTTCTGCAAAACACTACACTCAAATATAAACTGAACTTTTGAAGACAAGCAAATAGCGTGCCGCTTTCTTTACTTCTGCGTTTAAAGAATCAAAGCCGCTAACACTGCCTGTCCTCCAGCATCCCAACCATGCCATGCCACTTTACTGCATTCCCGTTTCAAAGCATGGCATTAGCTTTTTTGAGTTCCACCACAGCCAGAGCATTTCTGTTCAACCCAGTCACCTCCCCCCACCCAGTCTATTTCTTTGTTTAGGTTTGCTTAGATGGAGTAATCTAAGAAACCTATGGCTTCCCTATCTACAATTCAAGTCTCACACCATACGTTACCAAAATTTTGGTGAGAACTATGTTCAAAGAGACTTTTTGGGGAACATAAAGACCACAATTTAGCATGAGGTATCAGGGACCAAAGCAGGATTTCTTTCCTGCAAGAAGAAATAAGCAGTCATACAAAGACAACATTAGGTTAGAAGGAGTGGGACAAGTGATTCCATCCTAGAAACAATGAAGGACCCTGTATCATTCTTCTACAAAATACCTTAAGAGAAGAGCATGCATCACTTACATGCCATAAGTAACAATCTCCAGAACTCAGAAGCTTAAGGAGCCTAAAGGCTTATGATTAGGTTGCCTACAAGGCTTATGCTTCCAGATAGCAATGTTCAGTGAATACGGAGACACTCAAATCTTTGTATGAGACTCTTTATCCTAGCCTTATTGTAAACAATCACAGAGGTTCTTCTCTCCTCCTGTTAAAAACCACAAAGCATGCACACATGGACAGACACTCACTTTCCTGGATAATTTAAAATTAGTAAGTACAGAAAGGTGAGGAAGAAGAAAAAAACAAAACAAAACCAGAACAACCCCAAAACACTCAGTTCACATATACAATTTCCCTAGGATTTCCAAAAAGTCTGTTACACTGTACACATCAAGAGTCTATATTACTACAGAAATTACTTGTTTCTGCTGCTGGGCCTTTTTTAGTGCCTCAAGCCTCCTTTGTTTAAGGCATTCTAATTCATCTTCATCCATTTGGTCCAGCTTCTGCATTTCAGCATCCAGACGTTCTTCCACAACCTTGGTAGTCTGAAGTATTTCATTCTCCAGAACTTTTTGAAGTATTTCAACAGAGGTATCAGCAGCCATCTTTAACTAGAAAGTGGTCTCTTCAGAGCTGTGGAAATAGTGGTACATGGAATTAACATTTATACAAACACTTAATTAAAAGCCTGACCTCTCTTGCTTGCAGTTCACATTGTAGAGAAACAAAATGCTATACTATTTGAAGATAACAGTAGGTAGTTCTTTTCTATATTGCAACCCCCTTTAGAGAATACTTTCACAATGAACACAGATGGCAACAAAGATAGCAGTCAAGTCCTGTTCTCTCAATCCCAAAGGCAGCTGTTGAAAATGCACAGGAACCTGAAATTACTTGTCAATATAAAGAAGTAAAATTCACCAGTTCCAAAGGAACACTCATCCTGAGCTAGATCCATGTACCTTTGACAAATATTCTGAAACTAGAAGATGCAACTGGAAAACCCCAAGCTGCTGGAAGGAGGTGTAAGATGTCTCACAATAAGTCTAAGCAACGCTCAGTATATAAGTGTCTGCCAGTAGTTTAAATGCAATTACTTGAAGTACCTGATGCATATTAACATATTTAAATCTGAATTAACACTCCTCTCCTCAGCTAAAAGACAGACAAGGCGCTCAACAGCAAACGCTTTAGGCTAATACACTGCTTCAATTAGTACAAGAAAACTGCTATTGCAAACACCACGCTATGGCAGCCAGCGAAAGGATTTAAAAAACCCCAACAACCACTACCAAATTGCTGAGTGAAGAAACACAGCTAAAATAATTTTCTGTAAAGTTCTCTCTGCCCAAACATTTCAAAAGGTACAAAATACCAAGACTGGGGTGCATGAAGAGCTGGGGAAACATAATTGATTTTTCTCCCCAATAATGTTACGCTACAAAAAACTATCACTGTAACGAGTGACAGTTTTGAAACAAGGACAGTGCACAGTCACCCTAATCAGATTCTCAACCTGCAGGCCACGGATCTGATGTGCTGAATTTGGGTTCCAAAGATACTCTTGGCTGTATCTCAAAACAGACAAACTACCAACGCCATTGGCTTTGTAAACACCTTGCATACAGAGGCAAGAAAGCATTTTAGGTAGCAATGGGCAAAGTACCAACATCGCAGCAGCACTCCAAGCGTAAACGCAACATCAGCAGTGCTAAGCCTGCTGCCACACTCCACACGGGTCACAGCCACACTTGCTCTGACCTGCAGCAGCTTACCTCGAGTCCCTCTCCCCGAAGCTGCTAACTACAAAGTCCCTCCGTTAGTGTTTTCTATCCCCTTTTCCTGTATTTCCGGAGGAAATAAGAACCTTGCTAGCGCAGACCAGAGCCCACTAGGTCTTCAGGAAAGGGAGGGAACCCTGCTCAGCTGGGGCAAAGGGAGGCTTGTCCTCCACGCAAACAGGAAGGAAAACGGAAAATCAACCCCAGCCAGCCTCCGCTACAGCCTGAGGTCCCCAGCGAGCTCTCGGCTCCCCGGGCCGCGGAAGCCTGGGTGCCAACAAGCGTTTCCCACGCAGCAGGGGGCCTGCGCCCAAGGCCCGCTCCCGGGGGACTCAGCACCGCTGACGGGGCCGCGGCCCTGGCCGCTCCGCCAGAGAGGGGCGACACC